TCCATTGCTTCCGTCTGGTTTGGCGCAAACCTGAATTCAGAAACCAGCTCTGGTGTGTGCTCAGGATGTTCACACTCTCCCAGCTCAGCTGTAATTAAAGAGTTAAAAATCATAAAAATCACGGGATTACCACAAACATTTAACTCCATAACTTCCACAAGGCAATTATAATAACTTTCTGAAATGTGTTCCAGAAGAGTAGGTTTTTGCTAATGTGCAAATTAAAAAAAAAAAAGTCAGAAAAAAACGGTTTTAACACAGAAACCAGATTAAATCCTTTGCAGGAATTAGTACAGAATTCTAACAACTAAAACTTGAGCTGTTTTCTGCATTTTATATCTTTTAAAGAAAATAAAGTTCCTACTGAAAACAAAATTAAATGTGTCATTTGTTCAGAAAAGGTTACTTTGAAGCTTCCTCTCATTGCACTGAGGTTGCAGTTTTCATTCCAAGAGGGGTTCCCATCCTGCTGTTTGCTTTGTTATATTACTGCACATCTCAAAACACAAAGATTTTTACCAAGTATGTCAAGGAACCAGGGATAGGATGCCTTTTCCATTTTTATTTTTTTAAAAACAGAGCATTCTAATACATGGCTGAAATAGTAAATCAGTAGAAAGTGCCATTAATTTACATCTGTCCTTCAGCATGTTTCTTAAAAACTTAGTTCTGGTACTAGTTTTCCTAGGAGTACAACACTTGCAAATTCTGCTGTGCTGGGGGGAGGATACAGGCATTTAGCATCTCCCTGATGCAGGTGTCTAACTCCCTCGTTCCTGCTACGCCACTTGCTTCTTCGCCCCTCTCAGCTGTGCAAAGAGGCTGCAAAGTCACAGTTTGGAGAGCGGGGGACAGGCCGTTCAGCAGCACCACACCTGCCTGACACGTGCCTCAGTTCCAGCCGGTGCTTTGTAAGCCAGGGTTTCTTTACCACTGGGAATCAAACAGCAGGGAGAAATTAAACCTTCCCTAAAAAAACTGTTTTGTTGCTTCAGGTCAACTCTACATTTGCAAAAAAATTAGAATGGAGATTCCTTTCAAGGAGATCAGCAATTCAAACTCAGTGCTCAAAAAGACCTAGAAGGATATATTGAAATCCAGGAAGTTTCATTCATAATATAATCTGTTGACCAATAAACCTACTAGGTGTTTCTGAGCACTTGACCTCGAAACGTTTACCATTCCACAGGATATTAAACGAAGTGAGTTCATTGATCTTCATTTGAAACTCCTGCCTCACACACATCTTTTTCTTCAACATTATTCTTCTACTGCAAGTTACAGTGTTCTTATCTAAATTTGTGTTTTTAAACAGATGCATCTCAGCTGTGCTACTGTTTCATGCATGGTGGAAGGCACAGATGTTGCTGAGAATTATGGCAGACCACAAGTCATCAGCATATGAGAGGGAAGCCACAGCAAACACATTAGTCAGAATAACCTAAGCAGGAAAAAACAAACAAACAAACAAACAAACAAACAAACTTAAGTCTGATGTGTTGACAATCATCTAGGAAAAACACAGGAGTGTCCTCTACTCAGAAATGAGATGAGACAGAGAACGAATTCTGGCTATGCTACAACGAAGATAGGTAAAAAATGCGAACTACTGCTCCAAAAAATCATGAGCATGGAGGACAAAAGAACACAAAGGAGACAAGGCAAGATGTATTATCTACAAGAAAACATCAGTCTTGCACCTGCGCTGTATATTCACTTTCAGGTAATTAACTATTGCATCATTTTGAGCCGTAAAGCTCTAAGAAATGGGTCTTGGGAGTAAGAAAGAGCTGGCAATATTCACATGAGCTTCTTCCCAAGGGAGGAAGGCAAAGAGAAGGGAACTGCATGGCCAGCAGGAGTACGCCCTCACTAGTGGCTTTCCTGGCAGAATAAAGTTCCACGAATGCCTCAGCAGGATGGATACTCTCCATGCTAGGGCAGAGCACAGGCCCCATAACTTTCCTTGGAATTTTATCATGGAATCATGCTTTGGTAAGTCTCTTCCCTCCCTCCTAATATTTTTAAAGGTTGCATAAACTGTTAATAGTCATCACCTGTGTTCTTAAAATAATAGCGCAAACTGGGAGACATTTTTAGAAAGAAATATAGTTTGCTATAAAGTTTTTAAAAAGTACAAAAATATGTTTATTTGTAAATATGTTGCTGATTCCCTAACACAAAAGGGGGAAAAAGTTGCACTATCACATTGAGATCTTATCATTAAAAACTGGAAACTGGAGATGTGAGAGAAAAACCTTCCCCCTAGAGGGGAAGTTAATTAATAGTTCCAAAAACATACCTGGTTAAAACCAAAAACAAGAACCCTATGAGACTAATGAGTTAAACACTTACTGTAACGGTGATGATGCCAGCCTTTCTGCAGGCTAAGCCCTAAGTGGAGCAGGTGATTAGGCCTGCCACGCTGCTGGCTGATGTCATTTTACAGGCATTCTTTATAGGACAGGCAACAAAACAAGTTCTGTTTCAAAGACTATTCATACAGAATGTCAGCCTATGAAGCCATTGGAAACAATGCAAGAATGAATGTAACAGAACAATTTCCTTTACAAAGAAACCATAATACGCTGTACCATAGGGATGTACCATGAAGAAAGAAAAAAAAAATCAGAAGGAATTGGTACTTTCAATGTTAACAGTCTTTTAGATTCTTCTTCATCTTAGAATTGACAAATTAGGAAGAAACATTAGGTTTTAAATGGTAAATATAAGTACTGAAGAGGAAATAATGATTTCACATTTCTTTCAACACTTCTGCTTAATTGAAAGCTTCCAATATCAGTACAGAGGTAATAAATTACAGCATATGAGAGCAGAGATAACATATCACAGTGCCAAAAGAATTTTGAGAAACTTAATTACTGCTATGCGAAACTGAGAAAAAGCAAAAAAATATAAAATTCAACCACAACTTATATGCATTCCTATAGACAGCTTTAAAAGCATTAGTCTGGATAACTAACGAGAGACATTTTATAAACACCTATTGTCTACAGATGGATGATGGATAGCTATTGTATTACATTTACATAGTAATTAAAGGTATTAATTACTATCCGAAATTCTTTGCTTGGTTCTCCTTGCCTAGACCAGGGGTGAAGTTACTGGTGTTTATATCTGTGAAAAATGGAAGCAATGAATCAAAATAAACATGGGATACAGATCCTCTCCATTCCTAAAATACAACTGGAGGTTGCCTACAGCAAGCAGCTTCCTGAACGCCTAACAATTCAGGCTGTGCCAGAGATGCAAATGCAAATTAAAATAAAATAAAAAAATATATAGTAATCCCCTCCTTCCCCTCCCCCCCACCACACATTTAAGATTTCTTCTTGCTGCAGGTTTGAAGAAAATTCCCAGTTTTTACTATCAAGTTCATCTGGAAGCACTGAATTATCTGTATGGTCAAGATCAACTGATTTTGCTGCTGATATGCCCGGAATGATCCAGATCATGGTACATTCTTCTAGAAAAAATAAGCTTTAATCTGAGCTTCATTATGTGTTTCTCCACTCCATCTGCAACTCAAACCTCCTCAAATGGAGTGAAGTTTTGTCATTACCCATTAATACAAAAACAACTCTACTTTGTTTCCACAATAAGCTAATGAAACATATTATCCTATTATTACTTCATTTTTCAACCCTTTCTCCTGACAGAGAAACCACACTAGCTCTTCCCTTTCCACATAATTCAGTAGTTGCAATTCCCTCCCTTGCCTTCCTACTCACGCACTGCACATGACTTCTCTCTCAAGAACGTCCGTGCAAGAGGCAGCCCCTGTTCCAGAGCAGGCAGGAAAGCAATTCCCTAAACCACTTCTCCTTAGGGAAAGGAATACCATTGATATATGATCAATGAAAAATTCTTAGTAACAAGATTTGAAAATAAAGCAGCAGGCAAGTTCTTAAAATAAACACCAATCATTTTTAAAAACTTACATACCTTGAAGACACAGAGCTGCTAGTTCAACAGCAGTTTCATATGGGCATTTCAGTCTTAAAAAGGAAAAAAACAAGCCATAAAAATGATGCCATTTCCTCCCCACCCCAATGACTTTGTCCAGCCTTGCAACTAAAAAGTGGTCTAATACTAGAAATGGAAACATTAACCTCCACTAGAAATGGGCACATTATCTTCCACAAGGTCACTCACCACCACAAACCATTAACGTCATGAATCATTTAAAATTAAATTTTACAGACATATATTTATTTCCTCGTTTGGTACATTCTCAGTATCTCTGAACACAGATATGCTTCACTTAAGCTTAAACTAATACAGACAATATTAAATAGGAATAAGAAATTAATTTTGCTCCACTAGTATATTTTAGAACTCATTTTACTTTTCTTTGCAACTAAAATATCTATCTATAAACAGATAGAAATAGATAGGTGTGAACTTACTGGTCAGGGTGAATCTAGCCAATAAACACACAAAATCTATTTTGCAGAGCTGACGTACAAAAATTACTGCCACTTCATAAACTTCTTTATTTTAACTTATCATATTGAAAAATATGGCAAGATACATTTCAATACTCAAAAAACCCACAACATTCGTTGTTCTATCTATTTAGTACTTCAACTGTTCTCACGTATCCTCACACTGTTTCAATCAGCAGTAAGCTTCAGGTTAAAACCTTCTAAGGCCCTTGTAGAAGCAGTTACATGCAATATTTAAGAAAAAAACCAAAATAAAAAAACCCCCCTTTTTAAAAAAAAAAAAAAAAAAAAAAAAAAAAAAAAAAAAAAAAGAGAGAGAGAAGAAGTTCCAGTCATTGCCAGTTCTCTTTAAATGCCCTTATTTTGTTCCTTTGTTTCTTACCTCAATAACTGCAAGCTTAAACATCAACAGTTGGGGCATTCAAATAAACACGATCAGGATGAAGGGGTCAATTGTGGCGCCTTCTGAAGGACTGTGTGTGTAAAGCTATTCTGTTTTCCTGCCTTTAATGCTAACTAGTTCACTAGTACTTATATTGTTACATATGGAACCAGGCACTAACAACAACAGACTGTTATAATGATCAAAGAGAACACTTAGCACAGTGGGTGCTAAGAATACGGACACATCACCTGGGCATTCCATTAATTCTCCTTCTAAAATAATACAGTCATGATGTACATAAAGCCATACAGTTTGGCACCGTAAAGAAAAAAAAATAAACACACATCGGGAATTTTAAACCAGGTTTATCATCTATATGTGAATGCCAGAGAGGCTCAAAAAGATCACACAGTTGAAGTCACATTTGAAATCACAGAGATTATCTATTGTAAATACTTGGAAGTACAGAGGCAAGAGCAAAGCTACTTACTTCCCTGAAAGAATGTCTTGCCGGAGCTGTAATACAAACAGGTACCTGACAAAAGAAAGTGCAGAAAGTCAGATGTATTTATAATGTCATCTTCCCAGCCTCCGAAGGAGAAGCACAGCAATCCACAAGTAGTCACAACATTTTCATAAGTTTGCTCATAAGCAAGAAGTGATCTTTGGGAACACTCAGATATGCCCTGCAACCCTCAAAGTTCCCATAACTTTCACTAAAATCATGAAGAGGCCACTTTTCACCTAGTGGCTATGCTCCGGGCAGTATCCAAAGCATTGCTATTTAGGGAGCAGTGAAACAACATTTTGCATTTGGAGCACGTGCCTCAGCATGCTAAGTTAATGATGCTCCAATGCTTTCCTGCCGGGGATTTTACTTGATCTAGGGGATCTAGAGAGAACACACAGGCTAAGGCATGAAGAACCAGGGGCTACCTTCTCAGATGAAAGCACAGGTCCTGAAGAACATTCAAGCTGGGCAAAAGGAAAAGCTCACACTGAACCTTCATTTAATAATATAGCCAAGTTTTCAGTATGAGAAACATGAATTTCATGGCTCCCATGGAATTCTACAGGCAGAAAGCAACCCACAGGTTTATTTAGAAGGTCAATTTGCTTTCCACAAGCTCATATTTTGAGTTCTTGCTAGGCTCCAGCAACCCCTCAGAATCAGGTCGCGCAAGAACACTGCCCAGGACGGCACAAGCAGGCTGGCTTGCAAGGCAAGCACCAAACTGAGAGGTGAGGCTTACAGGGGCAAATTGAAACAACCGATCACGAAGCACTGGGGTCACAGCTAAATGCAAACACACTCCTATCTTTACACCAAAGAGTGCTAGATGGCTGGACACAAGAACTGCTTAGTATCACAGAGGACATGGCGTGAACATACTGAAGATCAAGTCACACCTGCTCTGCTTGGCAGGGGTGACTTTTGCTCCTTTTCCTCAAGGCCACCCAAAAAAGATTTGCTTCTCAAGCTCTTATATCCCAAATCAGCAAACTACTCTAAAAATAAAAAAATCTCCACAACATACACGTGCATACATATTCCTGTGTTGTTCTTCTAACTAAACTAACTAATGAAGCCCCACAACAGTGCCAAATGTCTCCCAAAACACAGTGACCTTTAACTGTGTTTTTAGAGTCAGAAAAGGAGAGAGTGGAAGAGGGCGTTTGACACTTGCCCATCACACTGTTCATTATGAGACTGATATTTACAGTCGCAGGAATCTATTGACATCTACTTAGAAAAAATTCTTTGCAGGAAATCTCTAAACTTGTCTTCCTTCCAGACCAGATCATTTCATCATTACTGTTAATGATATTTTTTCTTCCTCCTCTTACTCCCATTCAGCTTGCATTTTCAATAATTCTGAAAATATAGTTATTGATCTTCACTTTTTATATAATTGTTACATGGAAAACATAGCCTAGTCAGCATAAAGATTATTTTTAAAAAGAAAGCAACATTCAAAACTACTTTCCTCCAATGTAAAAACACAATTATTTGTTCACAGTAAAATCAATTTCCAATTTGTTTTCATTTCCCTTCTTCATTTTCACAGCGGTTTTCTGTCAATCTCATAAGTTAAAAAAGGAAAAAGATTCAAAGCGTTGAAAATGCAGTTAATAGAAATGCTTTTTTAATTAAAATAATCTTCTGAAATACCATTTTTCAGCACCAGAGGTTAATACTTATACAGGAAATCCCTTACTAGATACATCTGTGATCACACAGATCAGAAATACACACCCCACAGTGACTATAATCACATGCTTTAGCGGATTAAGCAAGAAGTCTGGTGGTGGACAGTAACAGAGTAATTTGACTGCAGCGGAAATTTAATACTTATCAGACATGCACTCTAATATATGAAGGCTTATATAGGTTTTCAAAATAAATCTATTATTCCTACTATAATTTAAATGCATTTTCTCATTATAGAAGCCTAATGATTTAAAAAAAAAAAAAAAAAAAAAGTCCTCTGAGATCTCGGTGCTCAATCACCTAAGCAGCAGGGAGTTCCATAGGTTAATGATGCAACGTATGGGAACATGCTCTTCTATTGAATTATCAGTGCTGCACCTAATTGACAATGAATATTAAGGTCTCCATAGCAGTTTCATAAGCAGGTCATGACAACCAGCTCTTTGATCTTCTTGTCTCAGCGGAAAAAAAAAAAAAAAAAAAAAAAAAAAAAAAAAAAACCATGATGAACACAGCAGATAGCAAAGGAGATAGTAAACACAAAGGCCTGCAGGCTCCAAGGTTCCCATAAACATCACGTACACACAAACTAAAACAAAACAACGATCTTTAAATGCTTTAGGCTGTTGGATAGTACACCAGTTAATGCTAAGAATATTAAAAGATTCAGAAAAAATAAAATGCGAGAATCAGAACAAAGCAAAAAAACCCACCAACAACAAAAAAAAAACATTATGGTAGGTGACAACTGAAGAAAGAAAACAGAAGAATGGCAGACACAAGCAGCAAGCAAAACCGCTTCCTCCAGTTTCTCCTTTCCTAACTCTCAGCATGTTCTATAAGCCCAGCAAGGTGTAGTCCTCACAGCTCCAAAGACAGCCCAGCCAGTTTAAAGCAAAGATCCCCACACATTCCAAGACACCCTTATACAGAACAGTCCTTAACTTCCATGGCACAGGGAACTCATGGGGAAATGGAGGAGATTAAACAAACCCAACTCATATCTGTCCTGTAATTCTCTATTGCATCATTAGCAGCTGGGCTCCAAGGCTCAGAGCAAGGTGGAACAAGGCAGAGAGGTGGCCTTTTAACAGGGCCTGATGGAAAATCCCTGCACAGGTACAGCAGCTGCTGCTTGCTGTAAAGGGCAGCTGTTTCCCAGCAGCAGCTCTCCCCACCCAACGCTGTCGCTCTTTGCTAGGTTCAAAGTACTAGAACACATTTGCCTATGATTTTTCACAGCACAGAAAAAAAAAAAACAACAAAAAAGGGAATGTTTTTCAGAGTAGGAAAACGGCTAAGTCAGGCAAAACGATCATTCTTTTTAACAAAACTCAAATCACGGGCTCGTACCTCTCTTATGCTGCAGGTGCCCTAAATACCCTTCTTTCAGTTGCTTATTTTACCGTGCGTATTTCCTACCTTGTAAACTCCTCATGAAGGTTATTCGGTTCTGATGAATAGTACTTAATTCGAAAGTGCAACGTGTACGGAGGTCCAACTGTATATGCAGATATTTTAAACAGAGAAAAAACAGAATTTGCACCAGTTTTGGTTCTTGAAGAAACAGCCACCACCCCACCACTCAAGAAACACAAAGTCAAATATATTTTTAAATTCTCCAAAGCAGCATGTATTTCATATGGTTAAACTTTAAAACACATCATTCTTGCTAATTATTACATTAATCAAACAGCAATTCCAGGATGCTTCCAGGTCTGTCACCTGTTGCTGAAGGAAGATGGAGATATTTTCAAACACTTGATACAAACACAAACAAATCCAGATATTCAGTTTTAGCTATATTGATTTATTTGGAAGAACACAGGCAAGAGAAATAACATGAACAGCTCTGGATAGGACTCTGAAAGATATCCAAACGCAATAAGCTACCAAATTCCATGAAGTGGAGTTGCAAAACAAACAAACAACAAAAGAAAAACCCAAAACACACTGTTTTCTAATGTTAGAAGCTAAACACCAGGTCTGATTTTCTATGTAATGTAGATAAAAAAAAATATTATCCAGTTATGATGAGACTGCGACCAATACATTCATAGCCGCCCAAGCCTCACATTCCAAGCTGACATCCAGTTGGTATGTAGAGTGTTAGAAAAAATATATATTTTTTTATCTTTTTAAGATATATTCTATAAAAAAACCCACCACCCTAGTGGCCTATTAACAATCCATTTTACTAGAAGACTAGCAGCCAAAACTCTGCTTGCTACAGCTTTGGTGCAGTTTTTGGTGCTGAAAAGGTGAGACAGAGCTAACCGTCAAAACTGTACCAGTAGCAGGCATCTTTACTACCTAATCTAGCAAACACTCACATAGTGAGGGGTGAAAGTAAACTGTCCTATAAGCCTTGGAATAAGAGCGCTGCCGCTCACAAAGGTCTTCTCAATATTCTGAGTACCCATCCCAAGTCCTTCAAGTGGGCTAATAACTTCCTCAAAGCTCTGTATTTTACTTAAACTGTAAAAAACTTGTAGTCAGTTGGCCTCTTGCATCTGACAACAGCCTTAAAATATATCAGTGCTGATGCTGTACTGTGCTCAAGCCTGCAACGAAATCATCGGAGAACCAGGAGCAAATTAGCTGCCTTAGCCCATTCCTTTCATAAAACAACTGCTACTTCCACAAGCTATATTTATAAAATACAAGGAAGGATGGTAAGATGGGGCAGCGGCGGGGGGAGCATTACAGAATAAAACTGTTTCCTAATTGATCTTTGAAGAAAAAGAAAACAACCTAACTGAATTGTGTTATGGATCAGGAACAGTGACACAAACCAAGATTGTGTCCAGGCAACCTGATTTCACAGATTAGACTATTAGACTAAAATTACCTGGCAACGCACTCCATCTCAGTCAGCATATGTTTAATGAGAAGTACTGAAGACTGGTCTATTAAAATGCTCTTGTATTTAGACAAAAAGTTAAATCCATTTTCTGACAAACACTCGTTCTCCTAGAGGCCATATGTACATGTTCACAATCATGTTCAAATACTCTGAGTTCAAATTCTTAACAAAGTAAAAAACAGGCAGATACGCAGTACTTACTTTTTATTTGCTTCTTAATGAGCTTAGAATGATCCAACCAGTGCTAAAAAGAAGAAAACTCATGTTTAAAAACAGTTCAGCTTCAAGATTTTCTTTGGACACAAACTAATTTAACAGAAAAAGTGTCTCTTAGAAGGAAGCACTGCTGTACTTTTTTATCAAAGTTTCATATATCTGAGAAAGTGTTTATTCACACATTTAGCAATGTCATTCTTTTTCAAGACACAAAACTTGACTTTTAAATCCATCAGTTCTTCCAAGGCTGTTTAATTCTTTCAGAGAAGACAGTTCAAGCCAAAACAAGCTGGCTCTAGAGTAAGCAACAAAAGTAAGGTTTTGTCCTTAAGTTCAGCTGTTGCCCAAGTGCCTTGAGGAGACCAGGCCAATCCCCTAGATTTCATTCTCCCTTGAGCTCCTCTAATTGATGGAGAGCATCCAGATCCTCTATTTTGCTCCATAGGCCAAGTTGTCCATGATAAGAATGAAGACAATGCTCACTGAAAGCACTAATGGAAGACATGCATACATCACCTTCTGTTCGTGTTTTTTTTTTTTTTTCTCCTTTCCTCTAAACCAACAGTAGAAGCTTTTGAGGAGATGCAGCTGTAGTGACAAAAAAACATGCTTCCCAGCAGAGCTTAGGCACTTTCACCCGTATACATGAGATCCCCAGCAGAGCAGTGATAAACAGTGTGGTGTAAATTTAGCTTAAATCTTTGCCTGCCTCTGCAATGCCCTACTGTGAGGGTACAGTATGGAGTAGTCCAACAAAAATGGTCCTATCACACAAGGTAATAAAGAATATTTGGGCTTCCTTGAAATAGATGCTTTTCTCTATAAATGTATGTGTTTCTTTTGAAAAATAAAGGAGGTACTATAGAAGAAAATCTTAGGGGGGAAAAACCATTTCCCTTCCCCCTATTTAAGCATTTATACTTTCAAGAAAAGGTGAATAAATGAATAAATACTTAGTATTCCACTAATATGGCTAAATGCATAAAAAAATATTTGTTGGCAGTAATGCCAATATCTATCTATTATGTCTTAAACAAAGGCAAAAATTTATCACAAGCACAGCTCAAAAGTTTGCCAACACACGGCCCGTAAAAATATAAATCTTATATAAAAAGGAGAGAGGAAGAAAAACGGAACAATTACCCTGAAGGTGCTTTTATTTGCATGAGATTTGCCTGGCTCGCTCTGGTAAAGCTGCCAAGTAATCTATCCTTGCAGATTTGAGAAATCACTATCAGAGGGGAAGTGAAATGTTATAGCAGCTCATGAAAACGCACTCCTCAGAGTTGCAAATAATTGTCTCTACTTAGCTGTCATATAAAAAACTATACCAGAACCCAGAAAATAGTACATGCTAGCTTTATGAAACTTCATATTTCTGATAAGCAAAGAGCCGGCACACTGGAATTTTGATTTTTTTTTTTTTAATCAAAATTGTACAAGTCACTTTCACACCTCCAGAGTAGATTAACTTTTTATGCTTCAAATACCTACCAGCAAAACCTTCTCTCTCTACACTATTCATCTTGGCTAAAGATGAACCACCTCTCACGAATCCAATATAAACTGATTCCATTAAAAAAAAAGTTAAGCTTCATGTTAGATAAAGCCAAACATGAACAGAAAAAACTATATTACAGGCAAGAAACCTCCAATCATATTTCAGCTGTGGCTCATGTTATGACTATATTCAAAAACCAACACACACTACCTGAATTATAATAGTTTCTAACAAAATACTAATACTATACTCCAAAGCCTGGAATGCCATATCCCAGGTAAACCAAAACTTCCATAGCGACAAGTTTCCAGTCAATTAAGTGATTATAAGTGTCAATATTTATTTTTAAATCTTTTTAAAAATATGAAGACTCTAGGAACTAACAACTCTCATCACTGAGCGTTAAAAGAGACTATAGTCTATATGGGAAGTCATTTCTAGTGGCTCATTCACTGTATGCATCCAAGTAGTCAGAGGGACAAACTGCCCCCGGAGGTAAGACACAACAAGCATTAACCTTACTTCAGAGGCAAAACAATTGTCATTTTTCCCCCAAATCTCACATTGTGCATCAAAGTTGTGCATGAGGGAAAACACCAGATAGCCCACAAAACAAAAATACTGAAGAACATGGACTGGAAACATTACTGTCCCTGAGTTCCTAGGCCTGTTAATTTTCATAAAGATTTGTGAACTAGAAGACAGATACTTAGGCAAGTTCTGTGAAAATTAGGTTGAATTTCAACATTCCTTTGTCTTAGTGTGTGAGGGTTCCTTCAAGCCAGCAATTGTGCCAACTTACCCAATGCTTCTCTGTAGGCAGTAGTTCTGCCATCCTATCCCCCCCCTTGCAGCTAAGATTTTCTAGACAGTAGTTGTAAGCAGTAACACAATGTCTGCTGAGAAAAGCTAGTCTTGTCCTATGGCGCAGTAAATGCTCCAAGTGCCTGCTTGGAAGTCTCAAGTACCTCAAGGGTATAGAAAATCATCACAAACACATTTCTGAATGAACCACAAGAAAATGCACAAAATCGAGTTGAAGATTTCGTGGTCTTCTAGTTAAAGTCAAAAAGGTTTGGGATTGGTTACATACTGCTTGCTGACTCCCAAAACAAGAAAGGGACGAATTCCAAGTCTCATTAGGAAACTGAATAAAAACCAGAGGTGGCTTTTATCCTCTCAACACCTCGTACGGCACCTCTGCCTGACTTGACTGAAGAACTGCATTTTGTTTCAGGATCCAAAGGCGAAGAGAGATAATTCTGCATCTCACTGTGTGGGAACGAGGCTGATCACAGTCATTTCAACTATACAATGCTACATTCCCCTAGTCCAGACTAGACTCACAAGTACAATTGCTGAACAAGGAGGAGGAAAGGAAGTGATTGCTTTAAGACTGTAAGGAAGAGACGACCTAAACTACTTTACCACAGCAAGGCGAAGGAAAAAACCTTCAGTCAAATAGCACATATTCAAGATTCTGTGACTATTTTGATTCTCTGCATCAGGCGAGCTAGAAGGTGAACTGCTAGATTAGCTCCCATTTACTTCTCTTTAACCTCAGTTAAAGCCTCAGTTAAATGCCTTTGCCTTGCCAAATGAAAAGTGCTTTCTGTGGCGCTGAACTGAAATAGAACAGTAGCTCTTCAGGACTCACATGTTTAGGCTTTAAGAAATTATCTGAAAATTCTGCCAGGCAGACACAGAAATAGTAAGTATATACCAATAAATTAAAAAAAAAAAGTTCATTAAAATCCTGTAAGTGCAGATTTAACTCAGTACATTTACCTGTTGAACATTCACTCTACCTATCTGAACAGGAAAAAAAAAAACAAAAAGAAATATTTCAATACTTCGCAAGTGGTAGCAGGCAATATTTCTTCAAAACATAGCAGTGGTACATAAAGTTAACATAAAGCCAATAAATAGTAGCTACTGGAATTGTCTACATAGGGATGAGAGCAAGTGCCCAAAGCTGACTGCAAACAGCAGGATCACAGGTTGACACAAACCCATCACACATCTGTGCTTTGCAAATTCCAGTGGCTCCCCACTTGCTACATAATGCATACATTGCATACATTCCTGGTCTTGATCTACACAATCCTCAAAGGTCAGCTGTAAAGGAAAAAAAAAAATGGATTTTACCCCTTTTGGCTGGCTTGCTTTGCTCGTTCGTAATGCATAAAGGCTTAGACCTTAGGCCTTAGACAGGATAGGCTCATGCTTTCCCTCATGTTGATTTAGGCACTTACGTACCAGAAATAGAAAATCCATTTTTAGTGGAAGCCTTCTTTGATATCTGAAAAATATGGCTTAAGAGCTCGCAAGCCTTAGCTGCAGGGAAGTGAGAAAGGGGCCAAAACCTTGCTAAAAGCTCAAGTGTGTGTGCGCGCGCATGTGTGTGTGTGCGCGTGCGCATGTGTGTGTGTGTTGGGAGGGGGGGATGTTCCAAACAAAAGCTGGCAAATTTTAAACCAAAGGCCAATTGCTTCTTGCTGCCTGGTTTCTAAAGCACAAAGATCTTACTAGTCTGCTGTTTACCACATGGCCTTCTACAGCAAAGAGCCTAAAACTGTAACATACAGAAGGAAGAAACCAAAAAAACAAAACAAAACAAACAAACAAAAAACCCACCCCAAAACATTCCTCAACAAACCAGGGGTTTGGGCCTTCTCAACACATTTTAAAGTTAAAAAGTAGCAGAGAACCAATCCTTTTTTTCATCTGAAGGTCACCTTTTAGCAATTATTACGGTACGTGAACAAAAAGCCAAACCAGAATTGGGGACAGGTAGCAACTCAGGGACTAGGCAAGCATATAGTTAGAAACAGCGCAAGCTCCCAGGAGTTCAGTTTAGTGGATGAGAATCTTGTTCCTTTCATTCTGTCACCTTCCTTGACCCATTCTAGAAAGCTACATTCCGCGAGAAAAATGTAGCTGCAGAGAAAAACTGCTCTCAGATAAATTGCTATGGTGCATCTCAAGATGTAGCGAACACCAGGGCCAATGCTGGCTAGTGCTTTCATTGGGGACCACTGCTAAGGTGACCTCAGCAGATAAATTAGCTTCATGAGGTTTCTGTCAGGCCACCACAGCTGATTGCAGCTCCTGGAGGGAGTCAAGCACAGGCCTGTGGGCTTAAGAGTGACCTGGAGCCTAGAACACCCAAGGTCCTTTTCATCATTAAAGAGAGATAGATCATAATGGTAGTAGGAATCTGAAGAGTGACTGCAGCTACCTGCTGGAAAGGTATAGAGAAACGACGCCAGACTTCTCAGTGGTGCCCACTAGGAGTAGAACATATGACACCAAGCACGTGCTGGAACATGGAGAACTCCTAACCCAATAAAAGGAAAAAGCTGTCACCACAAGGGTGGTCAGATACAGAACAAGTGCATAGAGAGGCTGTGGAGCCTCTGTAGCTGGGAATGGCCAAACCTGACTGAACAAGGCTTGGAGCAGCCTGTTCCGACTGGAGCTGCTCCAAGCAAGACACTGGACCAGCGACATGTAGAGGTCCCTTT